CATACAGATCAGCAGGAGCACCGCGGCGGCTCCAGAACACACAGAAGACAGATGGAGATAATGATGTCCTGTGGGAAGATCTGCCCTTTGTGGAGGGCGTATGGAGACGTCCTCGCATCACCTTCCTCTCCGTCTTCTCTTAAAGTATAAATGTGCCGCGGTGGCAAAGTGAAATGTCAAACACTGAGCACGGGAGACTGAACGCCACCAGCCCCTGTGCAGCTCCATCCTGCAGGAATGGATGAGTTTAAGGCTTACACGTTTACAGACAGGCTTTGTTAGTTCAGGGATTGTGACTGGACTGAGTGTGTGTATCGCACAGGAGCCGACTGTAGGAAACACACCTGCCGTCAGTAGAGCAGATAAACTCAGAGCGTCTCACCAAGCAGCCGGTGATCCTGGAGACTGTGATCGTGTTCCACAACTACTTTTCTTATTTCTGAGTTTTCCTCAAGCTTTAATCAGCGAGCGAGAGCTCATGTCCTGAAGCTGTTTGCTCACAGTACACCACGCTTAAACACACTGACGTCTGAGTCTGAGTTTGAGGAGATTTATGAGCCCCGAGCTGGAGAATTCACTGAGGAATCAACTGTGGAGCGCTGCAGGGCAGAGAATGAAGAAACACACACACATCTACAGAGCAGACACACTGGAGAAACACACACACATCTACAGAGCAGACACACTGGAGAAACACACACTCCTGATCTACAGAGCAGACACACTGGAGAAACACACACACATCTACAGAGCAGACACACTGGAGAAACACACACACATCTACAGAGCAGACACACTGGAGAAACACACACACATCTACAGAGCAGACACACTGGAGAAACACACACACATCTACAGAGCAGACACACTGGAGAAACACACACACATCTACAGAGCAGACACACTGGAGAAACACACACACATCTACAGAGCAGACACACTGGAGAAACACACACACATCTACAGAGCAGACACACTGGAGAAACACACACACATCTACAGAGCAGACACACTGGAGAAACACACACACATCTACAGAGCAGACACACTGGAGAAACACACACACATCTACAGAGCAGACACACTGGAGAAACACACACACATCTACAGAGCAGACACACTGGAGAAACACACACACATCTACAGAGCAGACACACTGGAGAAACGGCTGGATCTCCAGCACTGGGATGATGAGGATCTCAGTGACGAGATGGTGATTCTCTCACAGAAACACTGATGCTGAATGTGTGTGTGCACTTTACCTGTGTTCAGGTGTGTCAACAGCTTCTCTAAATGTAGGTGTGTGCAGGTTCAGGAGGCCGGAATCCATTTGCTGAACAATGATTGTTTTTACCATGCCTCACATGAGCCAAAAAGGCCTCCAGGTGTGTGTGTGTGTGTGTGTGTGTGTGTGTGTGTGTGTGTGTGTGTGTGTGTGTGTGTGTGTGTGTGTGTGTGTGTGTGTGTGTGTGTGTGTGTGTGTGTGTGTGTGTGTGTGTGTGTGTGTGTGTGTT